CCATACAAAATTCCTGGCTCCGTCCCTGCCATCTCCTTTATTTAGACTTAGCTAAGAATAGATCTAGACATTAGAGCTTAGCTCATGTATCTCCCCTTGTGGGATTCCTCTTGAGAGAGACACACTCGATTGGAGTTCAAGGCCTCTATTGGAGAAGATCCCTAGGGATTCAAGGCCCCCTTGAGGGAAGGATCAGATCACCAAGACCTCATCTCCTTTGGATTTGAGATGAACTTTACCATGTACCCATGTTCCTCTTGTTTTTTATGTACCTTTGTGGATCTTGTGTGGATTTGAGTTTAGTGGGCGTGTGATTTGGGCTTGTTCTTGAGTGTTCCTCTTGTGTTTTCCCTTGGTGTTCTTCTTGTTCTTGGAGATTTTCCCTCCAATTCGTGAAAGATCTCCACTTAGGGTTCCACCCTACAACAAAGGGGGAACATGCTGAAATGTCCGTGGCATCAAGATTGGGTTGATTGATGAAGGGAGTGCTATATCGTCTCACCCAGCCCCAAATATAAATGCTTGCGGGCTTGATTTAGTGCACCCTAAAAAACATAGCGACTGAGTGGGGGATGGAAATTCTGCTAGACAAACTTTTTTTGGGGCCAAAATCAACATATACGAACGGTTATTACGACGATCGGACCCATAATGATACTCCGCAAGAGTTGCTCTACACATAATGAGAGGTGCACGGTGCTACCCTAGCCGCACACACGCTGTTCAGGCCTCCTTTGGTTTGGAGCAATTTTGTAGGATTTCCTAGGGATAGGATTTTTATAGGAAAAATTCCTTTAAAGTTATTTGGTTTGTAGGAATGAAATTATATTTCTATTGAGGAATTCTTTCTATCCTCCATAATTCATAGGAAATAAATATTAGCCTAGACTCAACGAAAAAAATCCTATAGTATGAATCAAAGAACATTTCCTTTTCTATTCGTATGCATAGGATTTAAGATACATGTCATCTCATTTTCTATAACTTTTTTGTTTCTATAATTTTCCAATCCTATGAACCAAAGGAGGCCATGTCATCTCATGCCAACTGTAAAGGAATGCCGTGTTAAGAGACACAACCATGTGGTTCGAAGATGAAATGAGGAATGCCGTGTTGAGAGACACAACCACGTGGTCCGAAGATGAAATGTGTTTTGAGGGAGACTGAATTATTTCATCTTTTTGGAAAGACAACGCTAGTAAAGCCTAATTAGGAGAAATTATACCCATCTCCCTGTCTCGTGTCGTTGGACGTGGCCCCTAGCAAAGCTTTGGCAGCCTCGTCTCCCTCCCATCGATCGGAAAGAGAGGAATAGACAGCTGACGCACGAGCGGTTTGACGCGCACCGGTCCGATACGCTTGTCGCTGGACGCCTGCGCGGCAGCGGAGGACCGCGCGATGTGGACGGACGGCTGATGGCGAGAGGAATTCCACGGCTGCCGCGACGCGTTGCGGGTCCTAATCCACCCTATGGCTCGTGCGCCGGCCCCCGCGTGATGCGCCGTGTCCTCGCTTTCAGTCGGGTGGGACTGCCCCACGCACTTCGGTCGAACCCATTAATTCCGACGGCTGGTTCTCCTCCGTTCCGCCGCCCACCTGCCCACGCCTCAAACGTAGGACGCGTCGCGGACACCCACGCCGACCGCGGCAAGAGTAACTAACCGTCTCTGTACTTAGGGTTGGCCTAGTGCTTCCTCGGGGCGCTGTTTTCGTGGGGGAGGTGACGCCGCGTCGGAATAAGTTGTCTCTACTCTTCCTTCATCTTGGCGTTGCTGCAACCGGTGGGGTCGGGGGGCAGGTGGCCTCGTCGTCTCGCCGATCTTTGGATCTGGTGAAGTTCGTGTCTGGTGGTCGGTTGACGGCGCTCTCGCGGGTGGCGGTCGTGCCGGCTGTTGTAGTCATGTTTACTGTCTTATAATTGGGTGCGTGGATGACGGCAGGCGGCGACGTTCCTCTTCTTCGACTACATCGGATGAAGTTGATGGTGTCGAGATCTGTTGACAACGGGGAAGATATGTGCCACAAAGACTCGATCTCACCGCTTGCGGCGACCCACTTCATCAGATCAAAAGCACCTTTGTATGCGGTGGTGCTCTCTTAGATCTTGATATGGCAACTGTTTTCATCTTTTTCCGGCGTTGCCATGGTGACGGCGGAGGTTTGTGGACTACAACGTTACGGTGAGGTACGGGTTTCTGCAAGGGTGGAATAGTAGTTTTACTTCTTGTGAAATTCTTTATGCAAAGTTCCTTGACAAGCATTTGTGTCTCGTATGGTGACCATATGTGTAATCTCATTGCCTAATGAATATATGGTTGCTTCCAAAGAAAAAACAGTCTCTGTAAATGGAGTACACTGCTCTCCTGTGCACAACCTATCTCGTCTTCCCCGCCGAGACGCCGGCCTCCTGCGGCGAGACATCATCTGACTTGCGGATCATCAAAGAGGCTCGGATGTAGTACATTACTTAACAGATCTTGAGACATATCTACTGATGATTTTATATCATGCGCAATATTACTGTATTAGTAGCTACAAATGTCAGCAACGTACTCATACCATGTCTGTAAGAGAGCAGTGGTTACTCGTTACAGATCAACAAACTTAATTAGAAACGCAAAGAGAGGAACGAATTATAACCTAGGCAATACAGGCACCACAAGCAGGCCGGTCATCAGCTGCCTACATAACTTGGAACGATCAATCTGCGTCGATCGGGCAGGCGCGGCGCAGAGCTACTGAGACAAAGGAGTTTTGCAGCGCAGTCAGTGAGGCAGGCTCCATCACCGGTAGAGGCAGCCCCTGTACGCCGGCGTCCAGTAGTCCATGGCGTTGCCGTCCCGGTACACCTCAGGGGTCCACGAGACAGGGACCAAGCAAAGCCCTCTCTCCCTCAGGTCATGCTCCCCCTCCCCCTTGCTCGCCTCCGCGCGCTCTCCCCATGGAAGAAGGTTGCTGCAGTTACCCTGAAACCCACCGACGACGACGATTAATTACGTGCTCGTAGCCCGGATCTTATTTTGCAAAAAGAATGGATTTTGCAGCATCAGTTTGTCTGTACCTTGTTCCTGCTCGCGTTCGTGTACGGCTCGCTCAGCAGCTGCGCAAACAAAGCAGGAGAGGCGGGCTAATCAGCATAGCTGGGACTCGGAAAGCTCCACTACTCTCTCTGTGATGGGATGGCGACATGTGTGTGTGCGTGCACTGTCCTTATCTCATGTTTCTGGTGGAGTGTGAGGCAGGACAAGTTGGGACATTCTTTATGTGGTCTCTCGGGTATATTTATGCATGACTAGGAAGTGCACTGATAAAGGGACGCGCAACAAGTCAATATCATATGTGAAGTGGAACCAGCTAAACAGTCATTGCAACGATTCATTGCATCTCGGAAGATACCACGGATCGTGTTTCGTGTGTGGTGTGCGTATACGTTTCTCGTCTGGACTACACTTTCTTTTACTAGGAATGTCGGGGTGGGGGTGCAGGAATCTTATGCTTTCCCGGAAGCTTTTGTGGCTCTAGCTAGGTCAAATTATACACGGAGAGCATATGCATGCATGAATTGAGGGATTTTTGAAAGAATGGCATGTAGAGAATTAATTCGATCTGCAATATGGTTTTAGTATTTATACCTGTACTTGCTCGTGCAGAAACTTGATATACTTGATCGTTTCAAACAGCACCGATGCTGTGTCTGTCTGCTCATATGTGAAGTTGGAAAGGAAGAGTTAGACTAGAATGTTACCCTCCCTCCTATCCATAATAATTGTCACTGAAATGGGTGTATCTAGACCTATTCCAGCGCTACATACATCCATTAGCGACAACTGATATGGATCGAAGGGAATAGCAGTTTCAGAATTGGTGACATCTGAAATAAAAACTTTGTTTATGTGTGTACCTACCTTCCCAAACGGCGAAACGATTTGCTGCAGTGCTGTGATCTTCTCCCCCAGCTTCACTTTAGGAACTGGTTGCTGCATTCGGTAGCCCAATGAGCACCTCACAGATGCTAACTGAATAGTCTGCTATCAAACATTTAACTTGTTTTCGCTGTTACCTTAGGAGGTGATGCTGTGGATGCCTCCTGCTTGGACTTCTTGACAGTGCTTTCTCGCCTTTCCTCAGATGTTCGCTTCTTACGATCAGTCGCCGCCGGCGGTCCACTGCCGCTGCTACTACTCCTAGCCTGAACCCACAGTACACATCCATCCAAGTACCAAATTACGTATGGTTCATGAACAGCTGTCACTGATTAGTGTACTAGCTAATTGTACCATTGGCAAGTCACTGTATCAAATGCTATGGATGTGCAAGCATACTTACGGGCAGGATCTCTTGCTCTTGTCTGCTTCTGTCTGGCCTGTCGGCGGATCTCATGTACGGTGGCACCAACGTCGATTCCTTGGTTGGTTTGTAGCCGCCGATAGAGCCGAAATCCGGCAGACTCCTCAAGCTAAAAGGGCTCGCCGCCTCCATTGCTCGGCCGTCCTGGCAAATCTTGTCAAGCGCTCCCAAGCCTGAATAATCCAGGCTAGCGTGCATGGCGGCACTAGTGCGAGTACTTATGTGCTGCAGAAAGGAAGCCATGGGGTTCCCATGTTCTTGCTGCGGGTGGTTGATGCCTTCCTTCCTCTGATGGTGGTGGTGGTCGTCGGCGTAGGATGGCATGCCGCTCATCATGTTCATCCCCTGGGCCTCGAGCGCAGCATTAGAACCGCTCCCCATGAACAACGGCGAGGCGACAACCTCGTACTTGATCGGAGAAACGTCGGAGCCTGCCTCGAACCGTGCCGCGAGGGCGGGTGCGGCGGCATAACGGCCGGCCGGGACGTCCTCGAACATCTCCTGTGTCACGTTCTTCGATGCGAGCAGGTCCAGGAAGTTCTCCCTGTAGCCGGTGTTGTCGTTGCTTCTGAAAACAGAAAATATATTTGACTTGCGATGACATGGATCCACTATCTACATCAAGCATTCAATCGAATTACCGGGAGTTATTACTAGGACTTAGGGCATGCATGCATATAATTAAGTACTCACAGTTCGTCGTGGCTCCAGGCCTGGCCGTGGACGTGCTCGCCGACCGGCAGCCTCATGTCGGCCGCGCCTGCCACCGAGTCGGCGGCGAAGGTCGAGCCATCGAGGAGAGCCGCGGTGGACGGCCCGGTGTAGGGGCTCCAGGAGGGGGAAGGCTGCAAGGCCGCATGCGCTTGGTGATACTCCCACATGGTGGCGGCCGGCGAAGCTGCGGAGGAGGTGCTGGCTGCCAGGTCCGGAAGGTCGGTTGCGTCCTGCTGCTGGCGGGGCATGAAATACTGGAGGTGCACCTCGCCTGCGTGCAGATGCATAGCATGCGTGGATCGAACAAGGCGCAGTGGACCAAGTGGAGTGGACCAAAGTTGCCGTGGGGGCCTATTTGTAGCCGCAAGCGCCTGGAAGTTTTCCCGGCGAGGTTTTTGAGGAGGATATGCTCACGTTGCCATGACGAAAGCATGCGGGAAGACATCATTGAGAATTTTGTCTCCTTTCTTTTTCTTAAATATCACTACTGTGTATGCATGCGGATCGGAGTAGCCATGCTTTAAAAGTTTCAGTAAGAAGACTGTCATCAGACAGACAGCTAGTAGTATGATTCTGAGCCTTTTAAGAACTGTTTATGCAAATCTTGGTGAAGCAAGGGCTAGCTACGTGTAGCTAGGCGTTAGATAATCCTACGGAACTTTGAAGTTTCTTGCAGTTTAGCTTCTTCAAAAAGGTGAAGTACCTACCAGTATCAAGTGCTGCATTTCATTCATTTTAAAACTCGCTAGAGCCTAGAGGTTTCTCACTTTATCGTCTCACCAACCCATTTAAGTGCTCGACGGCTATCAAATTCGTTTATTTATGGAAAAGATGCTTTTTAGGTAAACCGTAGGTAAATTATCCATTGCAAAATTTATCTATCAATTATATATATACTAAAAGCATAATAGAAAAGAAACAGAGATGTGCTACAAATTGACCTCCGCTCCCACCCGTCCACACTCGCCCAAAGAGAAAACTACCCATTTTTGTTTGAGAGAATTTTGACACGTTATTGACTAATGAACATCACATTACTGGAATTTTCACATACGTCGGGTGGCATGCTCTTCGCCGAGCGCTAAAACACGGACACTCGGCAAAAATAACAACGCCGAGAGTCACTCTCGGCAAACCCAGCTTCACGGCAAACTGCTTCTTTGCCGTCACTGCCTCATGGCAAAGAGGCACCGCACGGCAAACCCTGCAGACGCCGAGAGCCGCTCACGGCAAAGAGGAGCTACGTGGCATGCCCGTCCGCAACAGACGACTCCGTCAGTTACTGCGTACATTACCGAGAGCCGCCAAACGACACTCGGCAAAGTACATGCCACATCCTATATTCTTTTTTGTGTGTGTTCTTTCTAACTGACATGTGGTCCAACTAATCACATTTATCAGTAAAAGTTTCAAATAACTTGCTAAATATTTTTGAAAAAAATGACGATATCTTTGCCGAGAGCTGCTCTCGGCAATTCTCCTGACCAGTAGGACAGTGTGGCCCACATGGCAGCTGACAGTTTACATATCGTTGCCGAGAGCTTGTCTCGGCAATGCTCGCCTTCTTTTCTGAGAGCAGCTCTCGGAAAAGGTGTGGGCACAATAGTAGTGTCTCCCAGACGACCAATTTTCCGAGAGGTGCTCTCGGAAAAGGTGTGGGCACAATAGTAGTGTCTCCCAGACGACCAGTTTTCCGAGAGGTGCTCTGGTAGTATATCGTTTTCCGAGTGCTGCTCTCGGAAATCTTTCCCATCCATTCTGCTGTTAAGCTATTTCTTTTTTGATCCCTGCAGATAAAAACAACTACAGTGCAATTTGGAGTAGTCCACACATATATAGGCATAATTTGATCATATATATGCATAATTTGATCTAGTCCACATATGTATGCATAATTAGGGATAATCCACATATTGTCACACACAAGTCGAATGTATTATCCTAGTAGACGTCACACACAAGTCGCAAATTTATACATATTGTCACTAATTGCAAAACACGTGCACGTCACAATAGAAGTACACTTGTTCATATATAGATCATCTTGAGGAGGAGAGGCCATCGGGTTAACATTCCGGAGGAGGAGGGGCATCACTTGCACTGCTTCGAGATTACATAAGAACCTATAAGAGTAGAGTCACGTGAGGGTGGTTCGTCCCTATGTAATGAATCTTCTACTGTAGTTTAGATAATGTTCTACCTGTAGTTGATCCTCAAGCAGCTTCAACCTCTTGTTCGTGTCTTCCCGTTCCTTTTCTCTGGACTCCTGCTCATCCTTCTGCCTTTGCTCCTCTTCAACAGCCCGCTACTCCATTAAATCCTGTAACATGGTATTAGGCTCATATAGATTGGAACGATGCTATTTCGAGACATGGACATAAATGAAAGGTTAGGATGCTAACCTTGATGCGCGTTATCTCACGTGATGCGGCGGTTGGGCGACTCCGTATGGACGGAGTTGAGCTGGTGCTTGAAGCACGTATCTCGTGCAGTTTGAGATGTGAGGAGGTGGCGATCGCCTCATTGCAAAGGAGGTGGCGGCTATGGCCCTTCCCCTGGCCAACAATGATGAGAAGCTCAGGATCAACGGGCTTGGACGTAGGTTCGGCTTCCTGCCCGTGCACCTCCTGGAAGACCTCTTTGAAGGTCCCCCACTTCTCCTTCCCCGACTCACTGCAGAACTCGGCGCCATCCTTCCCCTTGTGACCTTCTCTCCAGGCTTCCAGGATGTGGACCGGGCGACCAACCTTCGCTTCCTGCAAAATTAACCATAAAGTTTAATGAACCAAGATGCACCGTGCGAAAAAGTTAACATCTTAATCCACATACCATGTGTTGCTTGAGAGCGGTTAGGTTCCGGCTCCCGTGGACATGAGCCGGGCCTGACATTTTGGCTTGATCGTTTCCCTTCTCCACATGTTGCGCTTGCCATGCTGGGTCACACCACATGTCAACCAGGGCCTCCCAACAATCGTCCTTCATCCAGGGTTCCTTCGACTAGTCAGACAAAATCGAATAATTGGGGAACAAGAGGGATGAATCAAAGTACTAGCAACCGATGTAGTCACTTACCACTGACATGTATTCTTCTCGCGACAAGTTGGTCTGGCAAGCAGTCTTCCTTGTCATCTTCTCTCCCTTGTCATCGAGCGGCCGACACTGCATCACGGCTTTGTATCGCAGCGTGTGCTTGGTGTCAGAGAGTATCTTTCGGGCAGATTTCATGACGCCTTTGATCGCCTTCTACTGCTCACCATCCACGCAAGCAAATGTTTGCTACAAGAAAGCATATTGCATCTTCTCACCATCCACACAAGTAAGGATTTGGATATGGAAAAATGCAATGGTCGGAGCGAAGATACTTACAAAAAAGCATTGATGACCCGGGTGGCCATGGTGACATTGTGCTCGTCCTTGTTGTGTTTGTAATGCTCCCAGGTTAAACCCGGTGACGGCGGCTCGTCATCACCTGGCTTGGACAATCCAGGGAAGTGCTTCCTCAAGAGGGAGCCGATGATGTGGTTCGGCGGGCATGCCCCCTTAGGTTGTGTCGGGATAAATTTCCACTGACTGCATGATATAAAAGACAAGCATATGTGAGTGTCAAAGTTGAGGCATCCAAAATATGATGGACGGTCGCTGGCAGCATTTGGTTCCGGGACCTTCCCCGGACCACGCCCGGATTTCTTCCTCTTGGAAGTGTTGCTCGAGGTAGACCCCGAGCCATCCGAGGTCTCCATGTCGCCCGACTCGGTAGCGAGCGGATCTGGTCCATCTAAGTCCACTCCGACATCGCCATACAATGATGACTCATCATCGGGAGTGGACTGATGGGAGGCGGACGACTCGGTCCTACCAATTGGGACTCTCCGATACTTACAGTGCCCCCATCAGAATCTGAAAAACAAAATAAATATGGTGAATATTAACCATACCACTTCAATAGGCATCAGACTTTTTTTTATCAAAGAAGGGTTTTCCCCTTCCGATTTTCATTAAAGAAAACCAAGCCAACAGGTATTCACATTGTTGATTAGTTCACATATCAATGTTAGGGACTATGACTAGTTGGATGCTTGGTTTCATTTCAATATAAAAGTGGAGCCGGCCTATATGTCCAAACGAAAAAAATCGTAAGTTATGTGAAAGAAGAGTATAAGCACAACCAAAATGGTCAATAAAAAGTATTGAAGCATACTCCATGGTTTATGCAAGCTTCATTTTAACTGGATATAATATATGTCAACAAGCATAATTCATATATGATTCCCACTCTTTAGATCTTATCAAATCTGACTTGGATATACAGTTCGCAACAGGCTCCTCTAAATCCCGACACAATAACAACATGTATTTCATTGTTCTTGATGATAGGCGGAGATTAAAGTTCACTCAACATATGTGGATTATGGCACCATGGACTTTCAAGTACTCTTAGAAGGACCCCAAGATTTGGATAGATGGTCGAAAGGTACAATGCTTAATCGTTGCGGTCTATTCCAAACTTCGTTACACAAGCAAGCAATTTATCCATGGTTCGACTTTGAAACCAAATAATGTATGATTCCTTGCAGGTGCATTCATTCCTACTTATATAAGGAGGCGAATTTAACTCATGATGCAAGATTTTCGCACATCCAAAACTACAAACTTGCAAAACAAATGAATGTGGCAAATGACATTGAAAATCTATTTCATCATTGCAGATTGCATGTAACATTTATTCACCAACTAGTGATCATGGCATGACAATACAAACACCTATGCCTGCTCCACCGGTGGCAGTGCCTGAGAAAGAGGATGCCCCTGCCACCATGACTCTCAACGACGGAGGAGGACAAGAGGAAGAGACGAGAGAGGGAGGACGGGCCGGTTTTCTACTAACCTGAGGGCATCTCCAGCTGCCGCACTACCCTAGGAGCTCCGCTGCAATGGCCGTCCTCGGGCAGCATCGAAGAACCGCCGCACCGACCGCCGGCCATGAAGCTTGGTGGCGGTGACAGTTGGGCGCGGCGGAGGAGGGGGCCGGCAGGAACGAGCCGGAGCAGGCGACGACGCGGCGTGCCGCGTCGTCGCATGCGGAGGTGAGTCCGTCACATCTGTGACCCCACTATCTATCTTAGGGTTTTTAGGGTTTAGGGTGCGTACGGTGGGGGTGGAAACTGTTGGAAGTATGCCCTAGAGGCAATAATAAATTGGTTATTATTATATTTCCTTGTTCATGATAATCGTTTATTGTCCATGCTAGAATTGTATTGATAGGAAACTCAGATACATGTGTGGATAC